TGGTTATAGTACAATATACCCCCAAAACCCTATTGGAATTTAATTCCTATAGTACAATATACCCCAAAACCCTATTCTAATTTAATTCCTTGCTATGGTTATAGTACAATATACCCCCCAAGACCCTCTTCGAATTTTCTTCCTATAGTACAACATACCCCAAAACCCTATTCTAGCTTAATTGCCTATAGTAAAAAACCCCAAAAAACCCTATTCTAGCTTAATTTACTATAGTACAAAATACCCCAAAAACCCTATCTAGCTTTAATTTCATAAAGATAACCAAAAACCCTATTCTAGCCTCAAAACATATTCTAGCTTACTTCTAACAATACAGGAGAGGCCCTCTTGGCTCACCTATGATTTGGTGCAGTTTTTTGGCTCCGCTTTCTGCACTTCTGGTACGCAATGTCAGAAGAAGCCGCAGCAGCTCCTTCCGACCCTCCTGTAAGGGAGCGAGTCGAGTTGCCCCAGGCTCTGTGAGTGCATGGTTGGACAGAAATGTGTGTTAGACGAAGGTAATTAGCAGTGACCGAAAAGCAGAGTTGAAAGGAAAGCTTGTCAGCACGCCTACAGCGTTTGAAGCAAGAGCGTGAAGCTGCAAAGGTTTCTGTCTCAGTGAGGTCTTCCCGCTTGTCCTCGTTTTTGAATCTTCTGCATTCCAGGCAGAAGCCCGAAGGGTCATGAAACAAGTGAAGCAAGAACAGCGCCGTGTCCGTAAGGCGAGGAAGTTGCGTCAACCTGTAGGTTCTGTAATTGCTGTCAAGCTGAGGCAAAGCAGGCAGCGAAGCGTTTGTCGGAGGAAGATTTGCTGAGCCGTGTTGTAGAGAAGCGCAGCGGCTGAAGATCTTCTGGGATCTGCAAAGCTTTTGAAGTTCTCCTTGCGTCTCACGATGCACCTTGCCGTGAAAAAGATAAGGTTGCAGACTGCATTACGCCATGTTTATCTTGTATTATCCTACTTAAGGAGTGATGTTGAGGATGTGGCAGAAAGTCAAACCACGGTTCGTGCCAGTGGGGTTGGAAAGCAGGGATGTTAGTAGTAGAAGTGTTCTAGGGTCCCTGCATGAAGTCCAAGTATTGTAAGAACAGGGGGTGGAGCAGCGAAGCTAACGGTCACAAGCAGTGTGAAGATGTGTGAAGGCTTTCGTCGCGCACTTGAAGTCGCGAAGCAAAATCGAGGCAGCAGACGTGTTTTTGGAGCCCTGGCAAAGCGAAAGCATCCTTAGCGCGTTTGGAGTCGCAAAGCAAAGTCAAGGCAGCAGACGTGCTTTGGGTGAGACCGTGACCACAAAATCCAAACAGCAGACGTTCTTGTTTGGGAGTCTGGCTAACGGGTCAAAGCAGCAGAAACAGTGCTTTAGGATTAAAGAACCAAATCAAAGTAGCAGACGTTGTTTTGGGGTTGCGGGACATTTCTGTCCGAAAAGTGGCCGCCGTGACACCGTTCGCCGTGGATGGAGCACATTCTCTTGGTTTTGCGCGCAGGGGGACTTTTTAGATTGCCAAAAATGCGGATCCAGAACAGAAAATCGTAACGTTGAATGTGCTGGAAGAAAGAAAATTCGAATCTTTTACAAGGTTTCCAACGTTACGATTTTCCCTTCCCGGTCCGGATTTTTGGCAATCTATTTTGGAATGTGTGTTTTCCTTAGGTTTTGGCAGATTCGTGCTTCAAAAGTGGCAACTGTCACACGGTTTCGCTGTGGACGGAGCAGATTCCTTGGGTTTTGGTACATTCGTGTCCGAAAAGTGGCAACTGTCACACGGTTCTGCTGTAGAGAAGCCATATTCCTTGGATTTTGGCACATTCCAGTCCGGAAATGGCCACCGTCACACGGTTTTGCTGTGGGCGGAGCATGTTCGCTTGTTTTTGGCACGGTGAAAACCACAATCCTCGTAACAGTTGTCATCTTGGCCGCTTGTTTCGCGGTATGTGCGTGGAGCAGGTATATTTCCCGGACTCCGTGTGACAGTTGTCCTTTTTGCAAGCTGTAGTCGTCTATGTGGCCATGACGACATATTGTCGACAATTGCGAAGGTTGTGGGCTCGCGTTGAGAGGGGGCAACAAGTACCAGCTGCCAACGTAACTAGCCAGCTGCGTCTCACTAGCCACAACCGAACTTGAGTTCAAAGTCCCAGTTCCAGTGGCAAACCCGCCATGTCTTCTTCGCCCACGTCTGGGTCCTCCTCATCTTCAGATGAGGATGTACCCATGTGTGATGTTGAGGCACGTCGGTGTTCGCATGTGTAGCAGTTTTTAAAGATGTTCAACAACATATTTCGTCCTGCGGGCGAGTCCTCCTCCAATGCTGACGAGCCCGCAGATCCTAAAGCCCGTGCTCGCTGTGGACAGTTTGTTTGGCCTTGTCCCCGTCAGTACCTGGCAGATGCAGCTTCCCGCAAATCTCGCAATTGCTTGATTCCTGCGGATCTCAGCAACGAGGAAGCTGGTAAGATGTTCCTTCAGGCCCTTGCAAAATGCAACCAGCAATCGAATATCAGTCGATTGCATGTCTTTGACGAGCCCCACAAGAAGTATGACAAGGAGACGGGCCAACGAGCCCGACACAAACACTTCATCTTCAAATTTGTCAGGCCGTTTGCTCATGTAAGACTGGGTCATCTACTTGCGCAGGGTGGTGTGCATGGCCATTTCTCTTTCAACTTGGTCGGCTACCAAGCGTACCTCAAGTATTGTTTGGTGGCCAGTGCTCACAAGCTTGCAGCAGACTTAGACAAAGATCCATGGCATTGGCCTTCTCATGTGACCACACCACAGCTCATGCAACTTTGTCAACAGTCTGTACCCCAGATGGAAGCCCGTAATGGCCAACCTGGAAAGAAGCGAACCTTGATGACATTTTCAGAAATTACGGATGCATTTGTCGAACATTCTGTGCAAACTTGCAAAGACGCTTGGCAGCTTGCTAAAGCACGAAAGATTTCAGGAGATGAGACGCTCTGGAACACACTCGGCGCCCAAGCAAATGTCGCAGGTTTGGTTCACAAAGTTTTGAGTGCGTGGAATGCTGAAAACATGGATTCTGGAAGCTTCGTGGCCGTTCCAGATTTTCTGTTGTCCAGCTTTGTTCCTTTGCCGCAGATCCATGAGCGCTTGGCTTGGTGGTTGCAAGGTGGTTTCAAAGAGGTCACTTTGATTTTGGAGGGACGCGGCGGCCTAGGTAAGACGGAATTCGCGCATTGATGCACGCTTGTGTAGGACAAGCCGGATTTCATTTCATCAATCGTCTGGACCGCCTACGCGACATCAGCTTCGGCCCCAAACAAGGCTTGGTGTTCGATGAAGCCTGCATGGTAGAACGCTCGATTGACGACGTCAAGGGTCTTGTCGACTTGTCAAAGACCCGTGACATTGTGGCCAGAAATGCTGATGGAACCATTCCCAAGCAAACCCCGCGCATTTTCTCCACCAATTGGACTTGGGATCGCTTTTGGCCGAAAGAAGTCGGCACGGTGGAACACAATACGGCCATCAGTCGACGAGTTCTGTGGGTGCGTGTAAACGAGGACATCCGTTTGCTCGCGAATTCCCATGGACCTCTGCGCCAGGAGGACGAGGACGAGGACGAGGAGGATGTGTTTGGACACAACCGCGAGCCAATGTGAGGTTGTGCCTGCCACGCAATTCATAATTCGAATGCTGCATCCTTTTCGCCGTGGAGCTTGAAAAACACCAGCAGCTGACGTGTTTCAGGGTCTGAAAGCCCGAAACCGAAAATCAAAGTAGCAGACGCGTTTTTTGGGGCCTTGAGACTCTGCCAACAAAATCCAAACAGCACACGTTCATTTTGGAGGGTCTGGCAGAAGTTCAAAGCAGCAGCTCAAAAAGACACAAGCAGCTGCCGTGTTTTAGGGACCTGAAAGCCCGAAACCAAAATCAAACTAGCAGACGCGTTTTTTGGGGGCCTTGAGACTCTGCCAACAAAATCCTAACAGCAGACGTTCATTTTCGGGAGTCTGGCCACAGATTCAATGCAGGAACTCGAAAAGACACAAGCAGTTGCCGTGTTTTAGGGGCCTGAAAGCCCGAAACCAAAATCAAAGTAGCAGACGCGTTTTTGGGGGCCTTGAGACTCTGCCAACAAAATCCTAACAGCAGACGTTCATTTTCGGGAGTCTGGCCACAGATTCGATGCAGCAGCTCGAAAAGACACAAGCAGTTGTCGTGTTTTAGGGCCCTGAAAGCGCGAAACGAAAATAAAAGCATCAGACGCGTTTTTGGGGGCCTTGAGACTTTAAACCCAAACAGCACACATTCATTTTGGGGAATCTGGCCACAGATCAAAGCAGCAGCTCGAGAAAACCCAAGCAGCTGATGTGTTTGAAATGCTTGAAAAGCGTTAAACAAAAATCAAAGTAGCAGACGCGTTTTTGTGGGCCTTGAGACTTTAAACCCAAACAGCAGACGTTCTGTTGGGGAGTCTGGCCACAAAGGCAAACCAGCAGAAGTGGTTTCGGGAAACGTTTCGATTGCAGTGAAACAGACCCAGGTTGCAGTGCGTACAGTGTGTGTAACTAGGTTCTGTACAGTTACTTGACAGCGCCTCTTGAGCGCACAAGCTTCTTGGAGCAAGCCTACGGCTAGCGGAAATGTGACTAGTCCTCGTTGAACGCAGAAGCTTCTTGGAGCTGTGATTAGTCTACGCAGCAGACGTTTTTTGGATGTTATTTCCAGTCATTGACGTTGGTGTCCAGCACACAGTCACAGCATCGCCTGCAGATCCAAGTCGGGTTTGAGAAAGAGTGGCTGACTGATGGAGCTCTGCTCCCTCCTCTGGATCGAAGCTTGTCATATCTCGAGTATCAGTGCTTTTCCGATTTGCTCCAGCATCTTGCAATACTTTGGCCGTGGCAGTCCACGAAACAGTACGATGTTGTTTTAAGAAGACATGCAGAAAGAGACGTGCAATGGAGCATCAGTTCGAGAATGTGCAGCTTCGCAAAAGCAGATCAAGGTGGTTGAGGCCCCAGAAGCGCACCGCTAACACCCGCAACAGCCCTCATGAAAGCTGCCTTGCAAGGTCACCTGAATATGGTCCTGCGTTGCTGAAGGCTGGAGCCATGTTGCAGTCCGAAAGTCAGTTTGGCGAGTGCTCTTTGCCAGGGGCCGTTTTGAAAGTGGGTGAGAGGCCGACGAACCAGCAGAAGACCTCTAGCACCCGCAACAGCACCGCCCTGTGAAAGCTGCCTTGCAAGGTCACCTGAACATGGTCCTGGCATTGCTGAAGGTGGGATCGGAGGCCTTGAGTCAGTTTGGCGGCAATGCTCTTTAACTTTGCCAGAGGCCGCTTGAAAGTGGCCGAGATGCTGGCGAAGGCGGCTCGTAGCGGCACAAACGTGCTTAAGTGGAGACGAAAAACTAATCCGGTTGATGTCGTCTGTTCGCTGCCGAAGGCTGGCGCCGACAAGAACTTTGCTGATGGCATCAGCACTCAGAAGCACGTCTGAGAGCCTCTAGAGCAGTGAAGCTGTCAGTGAAGTTCCTGCTGCTGGAGGCCGGTGCCGACAAGAACTTAGCTGACAGCTGAAGGCATCAGCACTCAGAAGCACGTCTGAGAGCCTCTAGAGCAGTGAAGCTGTCAGTGCAGTTCCTGCTGCTGGAGGCCGGTGCCGACAAGAACTTAGCTGACAGCTCCGGTACCACTGCCTTGATGGAGGTGGGCCACGGCCACTTTGAAGTTGTGCGTTTACTGCTGCATGCGGGTACCGACAAACAGATGTGTAACAATCACGGTTCTGCATTGGTGCTCGCGTGTAAGAGCAGCACGGTCGAAGTCGTGCGTTTGCTGCTGGATGTCCGATGGCAAGCCACAGCGCGGAGAGAGGGAGACAGAGGGGGAGAGAGAGAGAGAGAGAGAGATAGAGGAGCTCTTTCTTGTGTTCGACGTTTTAGGGCGTGAAAGCAAGACCAAAGCAGCAGACGTTCTTTTGAGGCTTCGGGACTTTGCAGCAACATCCAAACAGCAGACGTTCCTTTTGGAAGTCTTGCAGCTGCTTGGACCTGACAGCAGCATCACAGTTGCAGACGTGTGCTAGGGGCTTGAAGGCTTGAAACCAAAAGCAAAGTAGCAGACGCGGTTTCGAAGGCTTTAAGACTCTGCCAACAAAATCCAAACAGCAGACGTTCATTTTGGGGAGTTTGGCTACCGATTCGATGCAGCAGCTCGAAAAGACACAAGCAGCTGCCGCTTTTAGGGGCTTGAAAGCCCGAAACCAAAATCAAAGTAGCAGACGCGTTTTTGGGGGCCTTGAGACTCTGCCAACAAAATCCTAACAGCAGACGTTCATTTTCGGGAGTCTGGCCACAGATTCAATGCAGGAACTCGAAAAGACACAAGCAGTTGCCGTGTTTTAGGGGCCTGAAAGCCCGAAACCAAAATCAAAGTAGCAGACGCGTTTTTGGGGGCCTTGAGACTCTGCCAACAAAATCCTAACAGCAGACGTTCATTTTCGGGAGTCTGGCCACAGATTCGATGCAGCAGCTCGAAAAAACACAAACAGTTGCCGTGTTTTAGAGGCCTGAAAGCCCGAAACCAAAATCAAAGTAGCAGACGCGTTTTTGGGGCCTTTGAGGCTCTGCCAACAAAATCCAAACAGCAGACATTCATTATGGGTTGTATGGCCACAGATTTAATGCAGCAGCTCGAAAAGACACAAGCAGTTGCCGTGTTGTAGGGGCCTGAAAGCCCGAAACCGAAATCAAAGTAGCAGACGCGTTTTTTGGGGGCCTTGAGACTCTGCCAACAAAATCCAAACAGCAGACGTTCATCATGGGCTGTATTGTATGGCCACAGATTTAATGCAGCAGCTCGAAAAGACACAAGCAGTTGCCGTGTTTTAGGGGCCTGCAAGCCCGAAACCGAAATCAAAGTAGCAGACGCGTTTTTTGGGGCCTTGAGACTCTGGCAACAAAACCCAAACAGCAGACGTTCATTATGGGCTGTATGGCCACAGATTTAATGCAGCAGCTCGAAAAGACACAAGCAGTTGCCGTGTTTTAGGGGCCTGCAAGCCCGAAACCGAAATCAAAGTAGCAGACACGTTTTTTGGGGCCTTGAGACTCTGGCAACAAAACCCAAAGAGACGTCTCAGCAGCAGACAGTGTTTGAGAGGCCCGAAAGCCAAATCAGTAGCAGACGTTCTTTTGGCATCATGTTCCCGCTTCGTTGAGGGTGAATGAATGACTCAGAACGTCTGAAGCCGCAAACTGGCAGCCTCAGTTTCCTTCTGTGAAAGCCTGGCTCAGGTCCATGTGCGACGACAGCCCTCAGCTCGGACCAGACTAAAACGGACGTGCATGCGCCAGCATGTTTGGATCAGGTATGCGAACAACCGACACAGCTTGCGGCAAAACCATGTTTGCAACTCGCGTGTTTTTGTAGCAGTCTTGACGGAAGCCAGGTTCGAAGCTCAAGTGCTTGCAAGCACGTGCTGACAGCGCAACTTCCACGTCTCAACCTTGAATCCATGAACCCTAAACTCTTTGGCTCAAACGTGAATTTCACCATCAAGCTTCGATGCTTGTGGTTCCGAATCAAAGGCAACCAAGTCCAGCAAACGAGTTTGCGTCGACTTGTATTTACGTGTAAATGGAAAGTGTGCTATGCACACCGGTCCAGCTCCCGTTTCACTTTTCTGTATGTGGCTTCTGCCGCTGTTCGTCTCACTCTTTTGGCGCTTGTACAGGTTTGGTGTGGAGCAACTAAAAACTGATGCTCCATGCCCGCGGGGGTAACGCCCCGAAGGCTGTGCCAGCCTGCTATGCCAAAGCTATAATCGTAACGTTGAGAATTGGCTCTTCAATGAGTTTGGCTGGGACTGTCCGTCTTCGATGTGACTGTGGTGCTGAGCTTTGCAGAAGCCTCGTTTCATTGAACAGCGCATTGCCAACGTTATGCTTTGCCTCGTGCAACAGTGCCGAGCAACAATTTGCAGTTTGACTCTGGCCATCTGAATCGTTGCGTGGCCGCCCTGCATTGTTTTCGCGCCGCAGTGCTGTTCCTTGTCAATTCCTGTGGTGAGCCCGGTAAAAGCCAAGTTGCGGGTCACCAAAAGTGATGTTGGGCGGGCGTGGGTGCACATCATGCCACAGAGTCTTCAGCGGTTTCCATGAGCTGAGCTCCAAAAGGTGGTGCACGGAAACATGCCAAAAATGTAGGAGAGCCGAGAGGGCCTCTCCTGTCCGAGGAGGCTCAAGCATCAGAAACATAGACTGCCCTGTACAGTCACGCTCATGAAGCGTGTTGCAGATGTGTCTGCTCTTGAGGAAGCTCGTGAGAAGGTGTCGAATTTGCCTCAAAGGTTTTTGCTGTTGTCGTTGTGTCACGCATGCTCCTGTGCACACCCTCCAGGTGCGTGCGCTGCAGAAGAAGGTGCGCTCGACTTCGCGACTCTGTCGGTCAGAGAAGCAATGCTGGGCAAATGCTGGTTTAAACCCGCGCCAATGCATTGTTTTGTTGGCAGTGTATGTCTTGAGCGGTTTCAACGTTCTACTGGCCGTCGAGTTCTTGAAATCAAAATCGAAGCGCCAAGACATGGAACAGCCTGAGCAAGAATGCTTCATAGAAGAGCTGTATCTGCGTACCGAGTTGGAAGTTCTGCTAAAG